CACAGCTCTCAGGATCGCGCTGTCTCCTGTCACGGCCGCTCCAGACCCGTCGCCATCTTCAGTCAGCACTTTCTTTCTGTTATCATATTTGCATGCAGACTGTTGCACAAAGAAATCCGTCCTCTGCTTAAGAAACAAATGCATCTCAAACTTCGCCCTCCACACAGGCACGCCGGAAAGACAGACACCACCTAACTTGGGCAGAGGGTGTGTTTCTCTTTGTCACCCGCAGGGAACCTCGCACCGCGCGTGGGCGAGCTGCGGGCTCCCGGCGGCGCAGTGGCACCCACGCCAAAGGCCACCTCCCCGGCCCGCCACCGGCCTCTGAAATAATGATTTTTAAGAAAACTCAACAAGATGCAAGAGAATACAGACAGACAATTCAATGAAATCAGGAAGACAATTTATGATATGAACGAGAAACTCAATAAAGATGTAGATAGACATCATAAAAAAGAACCAAACAGAAATCCTGCAGCAGAAGAATTCAATAAATAAAAATACAATAAAGAGCTTCAATAGCAGATTAGAGCAAGCAGAATAAAGAATCTTTGAACTTGAACACAGGCCATTTGAAATTACTGAAGGAAAAAAATAAGTAGGAATTAAAAAAAAGTGAAGAACGGCTAGAGGAAATATATGACAATATTAAGTGAACAAATATTCAAATTATGGATATTCTTGGAGAACAGAAGGAAAAAGGCATTGAAAATCTATTTAATGAAATAATAGCTGAAAACTTTGTAAGTGTTGGGAGAGATATGGACATACAGATTCGGGAAGCACAAGGATCCCCAAACAGATTCAACTCCAAAAGGTCCTCTCCAACACATATTATAGCCAAAATGTCAAAAGGCAAAGACAAAGGAAAAATTCTAAAAACAGCAAGAGATAAGGGTCAGGTCACATATAAAAGAATCCCCATTGGACTAATGTGGATTCCTCAGCAGAAATTTTACAGGCCAGGAGATAATGGGATGATATATTCAAAGTGCTGAAAGAAAAAAAAAATGCCAACAATACAACAATACAATACCCAGCTATCTTTAGGAATGACGGAGAAATAAAGTCTTTCACAGACAAGCAAAAGCTGAGATAATTTACCACCACTAGACTGGCCCTCAGCAGAAATTTTACAGGCCAGGAGATAATGGGATGATATATTCAAAGTTCTGAAAGAAAAAAAAAATGCCAACAATACAACAATACAATACCCAGCTATCTTTAGGAATGAAGGAGAAATAAAGTCTTTCACAGACAAGCAAAAGCTGAGATAATTTACCACCACTAGACTGGCCTTACAAGAAATGTTCAAGGGAGTCCTACATCTAGAAGTGAAAGGAAGATAACCACCATCAAGAAAACACATGAAAGGAAAAAATGCACTGGTAAAGAAGGTACACAAATGGGAAAGAAAAAGTAATCAAACCTTACCACTACAGAAAAACACCAAATTGCAGTGATAAACGATAAGAGAGGCAGAAAGGAACAAAAAATATCAAAACAGGAAAACTATGAACAAAATGGCATGAGTAAGTCCTCATCTATCAATTATAACCTTGAAGGTAAGATGACTAAATTCCCCAATTAAGATATACATTTCCTGATGGACGAAAAAACAAGATCCAACTATATACTGCCTTCAAGAAACTCACTTCACCAGTAAAGACATACATACACTGAAAGTGAAGAGATGGAAAAACATTTTCCACACAAATGTGAATCAAAAGTGAGCAGAAGTAGCTATACTTATATCAGGTAAAATAGACTTTAAGTCAAAAACTGTAAAAATGATTCTAAGTAAGAGACACAGGAGAAAACTAATGAATACAGAGTTTACAAATAGCTATTTCAAAAATGCTCTTATGCCAATGAAGAACTCTCTGGCCCAAAATGCCAGTGGTACTTCCATTGAGTAACTGATTACCAAGCAAATCATAGACCGTATTTATGCATCTGTCACACAGAGGTCCAATTTTAGCTGTAACCTAGAAATGCTTCCCAGTATTACGAAAATCACACTATTATTTACTACTTCAAAACACCTTTAACTGATTTGTGGACATATTAAATGTTAAAATAACCTTCGCCATTATTATATCTTAAAATAACCTACATTTAAATAACTGACATTAATGTCATATAAATGTTACTAAGTGGTAGAGCTAATGCCAATACCAGAAAGATGCCCTGAAAAAGTAGTAACATTGGGATGGAAATTAAATATATCACACAATGAATAAAGTAAGCCAAGCACAAAACTACCACTCTATTATTTTGCAATACATGTAGATTTGCTGCTCAGAAACCTATCCCTTTAACTTTATTCTCAATCCTATGGAAAAACTGGGATGAGTTATTTGTGAATTTTGATTTACTAAAAATTCTTGGGTATATGTTCTTTGAATAAACTATTACCACCCTACACTTATTGAATTGCTAACAAAGACCTAAGCACCACATCTACAAACTACTTCAAAATGTCTAAGAGATATATAGTCCAATCTGTTTTAGTTTTTATAATTATTTAACAAGCTCCTTAAGGTGCTTTTCTTAGATGTTCAGATATCTACTAATTAAAAGCCTGAAGTTAATCATGACAGTTAATATTATCTCCCATTATCATTTACAGAATGTGATATAGCATAACGATTAAGAGTCATGTTCTGAAGTCAGACTGATAAGGTTTGCATCTCATTTTTAAGCAGTTTGTCTAAGACTAAGTCAGAAATAGCAGTGTCTTTTTTCATATATGTAAAAAAATAATAATTTAGGTCAGACTCTTTCAGTCATTGTGAGGATTAAGAGATACAATTATAATGTGCTTGGAACAGTGCCTGGAATGTCCTAAAGACATGCTAGTTGTAATGATAACAATAATGACGATGATTGTATCTTCTTGCCATATGCAGGATGGAAAAATTAATATGTTTTGAAATTTCACAACATTTAGTGATTAATTCCTATAACTTAATTAAAAATACAGTCATGTGCTGCAAAATGACATTTCAGACAATGACAAACCACATACGACGGTGGTACTGTAAGATTATAATGGAACTGAAAAATTCCTATTGCCTAGTGGTTTAGTTGTTTTAACACTATAGTGCAAGACATTACTCATGTGTTTGTATTGATGCTGGTGTGAACACAGTGCACTACCAGTCATATAAAAGTATAGCATATATAATTATGTATATACATAATACTTGATAATGATAATAAACAATTATGCTATTATTGGTTTATGTATTTACTATACTGTCATTTTAGAGTGTACTTCTTCTACATATAAAAATAAAAAGTTAACTTTAAAACAGCCTCAGGAAGGTCCTTCAGGAGGTATTCCAGAAGATGACAACTCCGTGCCTGTTATTGCTCCTGAAGACCTTCCAGTATGACAAGATATAGAGATAGAAGACAGTGTTACTGATGATCCTGACCCAATGTAGGCCTGGGCTAATGTGTGTTTGTCTTTTAGTTTTTAACAAAGAAGTTTAAAAAGTAAAAAAAAAAAAAATTTAAAATAGAAAAAGCTTATAGAACAAGGATATAAAGAAAACATTCCGTATAGCTGTGCAATGTGTTTGTGCTAAGTATAATCACAAAAGAGTCAAAAAGTTAAAAACAAAAAAGTTTATGAAGCAAAAATATTACAATATGCTAAGGTTAATTTATTATTGAAGAAAGAAAATTATTTTATAAATTTAGGGTAACCGAAGTGCAGTGTTTATAAAGTCTACATAGTGTACAGTAATGTCCTAGGCCTTCACGTTCACTCACCACTCACTGACTCACTCAGAGCAACTTCCAGTCCCACAAGCAACATTCACTGTATGTGTCCTATATAGGCATACCATTTTTATCTTTTATACCGTATTTTTACAGTACCTTTTCTATGTTTAGATACACAAATACTTACCATTGTGTTACAATTACTTAAAGTATTCAGTACAGTAATATGCGGTACAGGTTTGCAGCCTAGGAGTAGCCTAAGTGTGCAGTAGGCTATACCATCTAGGTTTGCTTAGGTACACTCTATGATGTTTGCACAGCGATGAAACTGCCTAAAGACATTTCTCAGAACATATCTCCATTGTTAAGTGATGCGTGACTGGACCAAGATAGTTCAGTTAAAGTAGTTAAAAGTCTGATGAAACACATAGGACTGCTACTTATCCAGATATATTAGAAATACTTCAACTATAGAGAACCAAAGTTTGGACAAAGTTTTTGCTTTGATTAAAAAAATAATAATTTAATAAAAAACCTGGTCCAGAATCTAGTATTTATTACTGGAAGAATATCATAATAATTTAAAAGCTTTTTGTTTTCTTCCCTTTTCCCTTAACTCTCCAATTATGGATTCCCTGTTCAAATTTCATACCTGCAACGATGCCAGACCTTCTTCATTAGCTCTGTTCTGTGCACTTTCCATTTTCAGTAAACTTGACACATTAGCTAAATCTTTCAGCTTTTTGGGAGGGACTTTTAGGGTTTCACACAGTTGTAGCAATCTTAAGAATAGGATAAAAACATGATTATTTTGTTTATTTTTGAGTACCATTAGTATTATTTGTTTTGAAACAGTTCTCATTTTTTTTTCCTGCCCTCATATTCCTAAAGGTTACAACATTCTTTTATTAACAGTGGCTAACTAAGGCAGTAGGTGCTCCCTGACCAACAAAAGCCCTGAAAAATCATCATTTAACCATTCAATTTATTAAGATTTACCTCAAATTACGGGTCACTGAGGCTACTTTACCAAAACAAAATTCTATTTTACACATATAACAATTAATTTATTTATATTTTAAAATAAAAATTTCCTTGAATCATCTAAATATGTTTCCTAGACTTTTACAGCACTTAAGTCTATCATTTATTGTAGATTGTTGGGGAAGAGACAAAACACTAGTTTAGAAGTCTTACCTATGACCCTATAACTCAAATGTTGGTTGTTTTAGAGAATGTGACCAATAAAAGAGAACTTTTATGTTAGTTACTCTAAATGATTCAAAGAAAACTGAGTTCCATAGAGTTTAAGGCAGATAAATCACTAAGATTATAGTGCTTTGCTCTAAAGTTCTATCAACACAAATGATATTCAATATTAAAGTTAAAAAGAGGGGCCGGCCTGTGGCTCACTCGGGAGAGTGCGGTGCTGATAACACCAAGGCCACGGGTTCAGATCCTATATAGGGATGGCTGGTTAGCTCACTGGGTGAGCATGGTGCTGACAATACCAAGTCAATGGTTAAGATCCCCTTACCAGTCATCTTTAAAAAAAAAAAAAAAAAATTAAAAAGAGAAAAGTAATCACTAAACATCACGGTCAGTGGTGTGGCTTTTAAGAATACTAGAAAAGAAACTTCCATTAGTGACTTGCCACAACATGAAGAGCAGTAATATTCTGGAAAAGTATACTTGTTGCTTGTGCAAATAATGTAATACAATATGAAATAAAGGAAAAACGCAGCAATAGGATAAATATCAGATAGATAAAAGAGGTGAACTGTTAACTTCAAATTGTTAAAAATGAAAGAAGGGAGTTAAAGTTGACAGAGTATTTTTCTAATCTTGATACAGAAGAGTGAGCTGTGGAAATATGCATTTTGTGATTTTCATATTGTTTTACAAATTAACTGAAACAACTTATTTAAGAAACACATACAGCAGCAGTTTAGGGATGAAAAAACACATATTTCCATATTATTTATCTTCTTAAAAAAGAAAAAAAACTTATATTCTATAAACGTATGTTTTGGCAACACACCAAGAAGTCAGATTTAAAAAAATTAAGTTTTAGCCATTTTTAATTGCATACTACCTTTTCTTCAGGAAGTTAAGATGATATTGAATTTGTTCTTGTTCTCTAATACTCTTAATTAAAATTGGTCTAGAAAAGAAAAAAGAGAGATTGAATGAAAATTAGTTTGAAATGAAAATTATACAACCTGTGTACTTTTTGACTATGATTTTTCTCAAGTGCCCCTCCTCACTAGTCAGGCAGAATCAGTCACTTTCCTATTATATTAAATACATTTTAAAAGAGGTATGATGAAAAATTTGTGTTTTTTAACCACATAGTATTGTGATAATTAACTTATATGCCTGGCTTTTCTTCTGATGGAGTTCAGTTCCATGATGGCAACAGTCTGTCTTATTTTCTTTGTATCCCTTCTAGCGTGGTAGCTTCCATAAAAAGCATCATTTTGAACTCAACTTCCTCCTAAAGAATCCTTATTGATAGAGGTTAAAATTTTATAGATAGTAGATCAAGCCACATAGACTTGATTTTTATTTCATTGTTGGAATCCTAAGTTCCTAAAATTAAGGAAGACTTTTTTGCTGAAGGCTAATGCCACCACAAGACATAAAATGTATCTTCTTCTAAAATGGAAAAATACTTTGTCACCTTAAAATACATAATAACATTTAGAATATTTAGAAGGACAATGTCTATAGGAGCACATAAGTAGGAAGAGTGAAATGTAAAAAATTTATACTCACATTATTGCTGATTCCATCACAGCTTGCAAATGCTCTCTGCTACTCTTTGAAAGAGGTTGCCAGGTTTTCCTCTTGTTGGGTGCTATCTTCACCAGTTTTAGATTAGTATCCTTTGTTTGTCCTGTCATTGGTGATAGAAGAGACTCAGATCAATCCAGAAGTTTGCATGTTTTTACTTAGAAAGTAATTTTTTAAATCTAAAGAATATGAAATTATGAGAACAAAATATAAAGCTTTGTAAACTGTTTAACTTACTTTTTATTGCACAGCTATAACTTGCCAGGTGTTGAATATGAACATACTGTCTATTGTTATGTTAACTGAAACACTATTAAGTGATATTGCAATACAAATTTAAAACAAATAATTTTAAATGAAGGACGAAGCTACAATTATTAAAAGTTTGTTTCTCAGAAATGACCTGAATTCTTTAAATGCTTCATTGAGAAGACTAGAAAACTATTTCTACAAAATGTTAGATGGCAACTGGAACAAAACAGCCTAACCAAACCACAAACAGATATTCAGTGTTGACTACGTTGTTGGTACTATTCTACTGACTAGGGAAATACAATAGAAATACGGCAGTGGTTCTAATAAACATTAGATTTGGAGATAAAGGACATTAAATGAATTACAGGAGTGCAAAGCATTACAAAAGAAAAAAGTACTGTGTAATCTGGTCTTGGGTGAGCAGATGTAGGGAACCCTTTCATGAAGAAGTGAATTAGCAAAGATGACTATTCCAAACCTGCAAACTAATTTAGTACAACCACACTTAGATAGTGGTTCCAAATTAATCTATACAGTGGTGTCAGAACAGTAAGCATATTTGTCTTGAATAGAAATCAGTAGGTTTGTCTTTACTATATCAGTAATAGTTCAGATTGTGGGTCACTTCAATTTTCTTGAGCTCCTATCAACTTAGTGGCATAGAAAGAAGCCTCCATAGTATTTTGATAGAGGTGCTAAGTAAAATTTCAGTTGACCAAAATAACTAATTAGTATTACCTATTGTTGCAAAAATGCAACTGCAGTTGTTTATTACTATCTTTAGTTTTTGCAGAACTCATAAGCAAAATGCTGAGAATTTTTTCAAGAATGTAGATAGCTTAAGAAAGACACAGGTTCAACAAGATATAAAAGAAATACCTTCAGAAGACAGACGCTTTGGATGATTTTTATTTCTTTTCACTGTGTTTCTCATCTAGAGGGAAAACATGTGCACACACAGAGCATTAAACATCTGAAAAAAAGATATTGCTTTTGCAATAGATTTGTCATGTTTGCTGAAGAGTATTCATATACCCCTGGTTTATAGAAAAAAAAGTATACTGCCACTTGTACAGAAGGGTGTATATTTATTATAGGCAGAGGAAATACTAAAATAATTCTTGGACAACGGTAATAACAGAATTTTATATGGTGTTAAAGAATATTTTAAATAAATCATTAGTCACTTTGCCTGTGAAATAATGTTGCATACTTTACCTGCAAAACAAATATTGGCATTGTGTAATAAGCAGGGTGAGACATTGAAAAGAGTTTTGATTAATTCATTTATTCTTTTATAAGACAGGGGCAATTATGGTAGGAAGAGAATTCATCCCAAACTATTTTTTCTGTGTGTTAATTAAAATCTCCTCCACCAACTGAGGGATTCTCTTGTCTTTTAACATATGAATGCTGTAAAAATTTATGCACTTTATTCCTGGTCTTCCCATTTAAATACCTTAGCAATGCCTCATGACCCCCTCCTCCCCAAATAATTCTATGGTTAATGCTTATGCTTAGAAATGGAAGTAAAAAATAATTTTTGTGTCAGAATTTTACAAATCATGTTACAAAAGCTCCCACATAATATGAATTACTGTTATTTGTAGTAAAACTGACTCTTAGCTTTCACATACTCCTCTTTACATAGAACAGATGACATTTATAATCAAAGAGTTCTAAATAATAAACATGATATTTTTATTACCTCTTTCTCCGACAACTTCATTTCATCATCATCAATTTTTCTTTTTGGATTTCTTAGTAACTGTTCAGACTTTTTCTTGGAAGCACTTGCTTTACCAGGCATCTTAATCTAAACAGAAGTTATAACAGTGCTTAAAACAATCTGTAAAGATGAAAAGAACACAGAAAAGCACTAAAAGGTTAAACAATGTTTGTTAAGAAGACTACCAATAAATGTTCCAAATTCTCCTTTTAAAAAAATAATAAAATTTTGGGGATAGTATTATTTTTTAAAAATCATTTAAACATATTTTAAAATAAATAACTTTGGCCTTCATCAGTACATCTAATTCCTAGAAATTATTTCCATTTTTATGGCTTTAAAAAATCATTTAAAAATGCTTTTGCATCTCTTACTTTACACGCCTGCATACAATAACATTATCTCCATGTTTAAGTCCAAGAAAATGGAAATATAATGTGGTCACAGATAATGTCAGTTCAAAGAGCAATACCAAGGTCTTTTTATTTTAAGTAAGAGATTTACCATTACTCAACTATGCCAAAGATGGAAGGAGATCAGTTTTAGGATTATTCCATCAACCTATGTTGTGGAAATTTATGTGATAGTATGCCACACATAATGATTTAAACTGTAATCCTATATGGACTATATGTATTTTAACAAGAGTACAGAATTATACAGATTAGTCTGTCCTCTCACAAATTACAATACAGACATGGGAGTGGGAATGACAACATTTAGAATAACTTCTTTTCCCTCTCTAATAGTCTTTTATCACCAAACTCATTTCTGATAAAAGAAACACAGAAATGGGTTATTCTTTCCTTAGACCATAAGGAGTAGATAGCTTAGAAATTAGGTATACTACACTAGGAAATATGTATACACACACATGTATATATATGTATACACATTTTTTCTAAGCATATAGCTAGATATATAGAAAAATTAGTCACCATTTCTTTTCTAAATAGTCAGAATTATATTAACACAGTTTAATTATATATGCAGATTTGGAGACAGACAATAAAGGGGGTACTCTGGATAAATCTCTTCCCTCAAATATGAAAAGCTTCAAGTTTGTTTCTTCCCAGTAAGACTGAAAAAAATTGTGGGAAAGAATTAGCTGAAAGATCACAAACTACATTTACAGTTCTTAATGATCAAGCTCTGAATAGCTTTCCATACTTCTCTCCTACCACTTCTTAACTGAATCTCCCTCTCTAGGAAGATGATTTCCTGAACACGCTGAGTAACTCTGCCTTCCATGCACATACAGTCCTACTACCTGAGCTGCTTTCTCCCCTGTCTGCCCACTCTCTCAGAATATGAGCCACCTCCTTCCCAAAGACTTCCTAACCACTCCATTTCTCTCTAAAAGTCTGAGCCCTTATGGTCTCTCTCATTTGTCACTTCTTAATAGTTTGATTCTGTTAATCATTTTTTTCTTGACAGTTTTTATTCAAAACGTGTACTACTTCAAATTTGATTCACAAACTGACATAATCCTTATAAATAAAGAAATTGAGAGTAATCATTTAGAAACATTTATCACAATTTGACAGTAATTTTATGTATGTTGAGTCTAATCATAAAATAATTGACCTTTCTTTTCTATCTCATTTCTCCAGTAATAAATGTTTAAAAAAACAAAAAAACAAAACAAAACAAACAAACAAAAAAAACTTCAGAGCAGTTTTAGGTTTATCGCAAAACTGAGAAGTACAGAGTTCATATATACCACCTGCCCACCCCCACTTCCTTAAAACCTCCCCCGCTATCAATATCTCACACCAAAGTGGTACATTTGCTACAATCAATCTACCTACATTGATACATTACATCACCCCAAATCCATAGTTTACATTTGGGTTTACTCCTGGTGGTGTACATCCTATGGGTTTGACTAGTAATTCATTTTTAATTCTACTTTACAAAAGTATCAGCTGTGACTGATTAGAAATAAACAAAACAAAACAAAACCAGTCCTTTACCACAGTTTGAGAAGTGTTTTCATTGATACCTACTCGAGACAAAAGACCACAGTGCAAAAAGTTTCTCGACCCTGGCACTATTAACATCTTGGATGAAATAATTCTTTGTTGTAGAAGGTTGTCCTGTGCATTGTAGGATGTTTAGCAGCATTCCTGATCCCTACCCACCAAATATCAGAATCCCCTCACCCCCAAGAAGTGTCAACCAAAATTGTCTCCAGGCATTGTCAAATGTCTCCTGTGGCAAAAATCACCCCAGGTTGAGAACCTCTGCCATAGTGGTTAAGAGCAAACCAGGGATGAGGTTAAATTGCCAGGCTCCAAATTCTGGCTCTACCACTTAACTAGCTGTATAGTCTTGGGCAAGTAAATTAAGTCAGTTTTCCCATTGGTAAAATGGGTTAATAAAAGTACCAACATCGAAGGCTTTCATAAAGCTAAAATGATTCAGTACAGGATATATAAAGTGCTTAGAACAGTTCTTGGGACATAGTGAGAACTCAATAAGTCAAAGTCATAATTTCTATCACTGTCGGGCTAGTTGCAGTGTATATAAAAATGAACAGAAATTTTGTCCTGTTTCTAGATCCACAGGAAACCATAGCCTAGTGGTAATGAATAGGTAGGAACAGATATGAAAACAATTACTATGTACAATGTGATAAATGCTACAAAAGAGATGAGTGAATGACCATCTCAAATTGGTTTGTGTGTATGTGTGAAAATATACAGTATTCAGAGAAAAAGTATTATTTGAATTATGTTTTGAAATATTAGCCAGAGGAAGGGAAATGAAGTATTCAAGAGAAAACAGCAAAAGCCGGATATCGGGACAGCTCGAAAGAAACAGGTATGTTCAAGGACAGGAAAAGTTCAGTGAGGCTTTTTAATGTGTATAGGAGGAGTGGAAAGAAATAAGGCTGGAATGGTACCTTTTTTGAACGAAAGAGGGGGACATCCTAGGTTGTAGTTTCTGAAACTCATGGAAATCAAGTATTTCAATGTAGACCTCTATGTGTGCACAAGAAGTGAGCACGACGTCTGGCAAAAAATAGACAGCAAGCTCCAAGGCTGCACTTTTCCCTACTACTGGCTGCGGGAGAGTTTCAGGGATGAGGATAAGGATGATTTGGGGGAAGTATGGAGGAACTATGTGTGACTTTACTCCCTCTTTGAAAATCAAACGCCTCGATCCGCGGCCCCGAATGGCAGACCTGTTGGGACATCTACATTTCCCCTTGAAAAAAATCACCTCACGTTTCTCAAATACAAACAACGGGAGGTTGCCACAATCGAATTGGCCTCAAAACATCCCCCAACCCGTACCTACCCTGCGGTTTAAGCGGCTTCACAACTCACCGCTGATTCCTCCTGAACCCTTCTGGGAGCCCGGCACAGAGTTATTCGCGCCCAAACAATCTAAAGCCAAGGAGACGCGGAAGTGGACCGGAAGAAAGCGGAAACACCCGTAGCTGGAGGCGGGATTCTAGCCGAACTATGACGTCATCAGTAACGCGCCCACAAGATCGCCATTAGATTGGCTGGAGAGGGGGCGTTGTCGGCCTACGCCCCCTGACTCGACTGGCAGGCGCCTGCGCTTGCGCAGTGGGGGTTGGGGACTGAGTCCACTTGAGGACCTCTGACTAGTGGGGCAGGGGGCGCGGAAATCCTAAAACAGGCCGGCAAGTGAGTAGGACTGTGCACATTGAGACAGATCGGCCTTTCGGTTCCCTCCGTTCTTCTGGCTCCTCCCTCTATTCTAGTCCTGTCTTAAGAGCCTCTGGTTTTTGTTTTCTTTTTTTACCTTCCTATTGTTACGGGATCCCACTGTCCTCTACCTTCTACTTGGTTTTGATTCTTGCCTCTACCGACCTCTCATTTTTGGCGAGGTTCTTGGGAATTCGGAAGTACCGCTGGAAAGAAGGTGCTTTTAACACCTTAGGGGCCCTGTCGGTTGTCTTCTCGGGCCAAGCACTCCCAAGTGTTCGCGCTGGCAGAGGTCATGTGTACGGTTCCAGAGGGGTGCGCTGGCTTCACGGCTGCCTCCCTTCTAGGCTGTGGTTCATGTTTTTGTTAGGGTTTTTGTAAGAGGTGGCGGCAGTAAAAGTGGCTTTCTGTATATAGGTGGTGTTACGTGTGAGAAGTGGAATAGGAAAGACAGGTCTAAATTAACAGAAAAGAGTAGATTGCGATCTTGTTCTCGGTTCTGTTTAATAAGAAAACGTTTTTTTAGAAGTTCGAAGCCCTGGATAATGTTATGTGTGTAAAGTTGTAAGCCACCTGATAATTTTCTCCCAATATATTTTTGTGTTTAATGATTTATGTTAATACTAAGTTTAATTTGCTTGCCCTATTTTGCCATCTTCATCCCAAATTGGCTGAATATTGGAGGTGATTAGCCTTCCTTGAATTGTTAATGTGGAACCACATGTAAACAGTCAAAATTTAAAAGTTATTTGTTTCATAATTTGTTTTCTCTTGGGGGGGGTTGGAGGCGGGGGCGTAGGCTTCATCATTGCTCTTTAGCACATTCTAATCATCAGTAACTTATGTTTGCTTTGTAGGTTCCTTCTTTGAATGCTTGAGGCCTCTCTCCAAGGGTCTTTTGAGAAAATTCAAAATGTCTATTGCCATCATCAGTAGTTGTGTTCTTATCAAAAAATGGTGTCTATTTCCAGCCTCTACCAATTTAACATGTGATTTTCAGGAAGTCACTGTTATACAGGGCTCTTTCCTATCATTTGTCCAGGTTTAGGAAAGCCCCACGAGTATTTTGTGTGAAATGATGTGATATTTTCTGTGGACAATCTAGTCTTAGGCAGTTTTCAAATTACCTTTTATATCATTACTACAGAAATGGTTCAGTTGTAACTTCATTATTTTTTTCACCGACCTTTTAAGCTAGTAAATGTAATGGGTGGCTTGCAAAAAGATGACTGACAAGGACTCCATGGACTTAATAGAATAAAAATCATAATAGTTTAAAAAAAATGGAAGTTGTTTTCATTTTATTTCCTTTTAGACTTTATTCTACGCATTTTTTACCTAGTTGAATACATTGCATTTATAATTATGTATCCAAATTCTTTCACTTAATATTTTTGAGACTTTCTTTTTTAGAAACTTTGCATAATACAGTTTTAACTTTTTATTTATGTATAATATACTTATAGAAAGTGCACATATCATAATTGTATGGTTTGATGAACTTCCACAAACAGAATACATCTATATAATTGGCCTTTAGATTAAGACCATCACCCAAAGGCTCCTCTCTTGCTTCCTTTCTGTATTAGCTCCATAAATAATCTCTCTTCTGACTTCTGACATCACATATTAGTGTTGCCTGTTTCCTAAACATATTTTAATAGCTGCATAAAATTCTATCATTGGATATGCTGTAATTCATGTATTCTTATGTTATTTGACATTTGTGACATTTGTGATGTTTCTAAGTTTTCTATATTACAGATAAAACTATAGGGAATATCTGTTTTTTTGTTTTATTACAGTAGCTTTCCCAGGAGTGATGTTTCTCAGTGAAATGGCAGAAACATTGCTGAGACTTTTTATATATATTGGCAATTTACTTTCCAAAGTAGTTAAAACAGTTAATACTTCCACCAGTGGTTTATGTCTCTTGTTTTATAACCCTATAATAAGTGTTGGATATTCTTTTTTTTTTTTTTTTGAGTTTCACTAAATTGATAGATAAGAAATGGCATGGAAAATAGAATTTTAAACTCTCTTTACTTCTTGCCTTAGCCAATATAACACAACATGGTCTGATGAATATATTAATAAATTTTGTATCTCAAAATCTTTTAAAACAATAGTTTCTGTATGTTGAGGCTGTATGATTCTGACAAGTATTTAGTAATTCAAGTGAACAGTTTATTGCTTTGCTGTGTGGGATTTTGATTAAGCCATTTTATTTCTCAGAACCTCAATCTCTACATCTGTGAAATGGTGTGTATAAGTCCATTTCTGTTGCTTATGGCAAAATACATGGAACTGGATATTTTAGAAAGAAAACGAAATTTGTTGCTTACAGTTTTGGAGGCCAGGAAGTCCAAGGTCCAAGGAACACATCCAGTGAGGGTCTTGGTGGTGGCGGCAGTGATTCAGGGGTCTCACATGAGGAGCTCTAAAGCCCTCAGAACCAAACCACTTACCACAATTATTAATGCATTCACTGTGGCATGATCCTACAACATAAACACCTTCAAGGCCCCACCTTTCAATTACCATAGTAGGATTTCCCATTCTCAACACTGTCACAGTGGGTGTCAAGTTTTGGAGGGACACTCAATCCAAGGCATAGTGAAATTGGGTTCAGTGACCTAGCGTAAGACTCTGCTAAGTATAAGGAATATACAGGTCTAATGCTGGAGCAGCAGTTTGTACACTAGCAGAGAGAGAAGTGGATTACTGAAGAGGCCATTTAGCCCAGCTGGTGAGTTCGGGGAGAGTCTGTGAGGATATTAACTAATTCAACGACTTTAACAGTAGGCTGGCTAGGTTCAAATGCTGCCTTTTCTGTACCTCAGTTTTCTTACCTTTATTTTATTTTAGTTCTTATCTTTAAGATGTGGGTAATATTAGTACCTACCTCTTGCTGGTGGTATGAGGATTAAAAATGCTACTCTGCATGAAGTCATTAGAGCCCTCTTTGTGCCTGGCATATAGAAACCCTGCATACTGGAAATAATAATGCCTTAGCTGAATTAGCCAAAGAATAACATTCTAGGCAAAGGGAAGAGTAAGGGCAAATTCACAAAACTTTGACATGTGCAGTGAACTATAGGTAATTTAGTATTTCTAAAATATAAAATATGTAGAGGACAAAGGAAGAGATGAGTTTAGAGGTAACCAGAGACCAGGTCTTGGAGACCTTGAATATTTGTTTATTTTGTTCATCACTTTTCTCCATCACCCAGCACAATGCCTGTCATAAAGTAGGTATTAAGTAAAAGTGTTTTGGATGAGAAAATTAATTAGGAGGCTATACTGTATCCTCCATGTGATGCAGAGATTTGAAAAAATTTGTGGAATGTGACATAATTAAATTTATATTGGTGACAGTGTGTAGAATGGATCAGAGGGGGCTAAGAATGTAGTCAGTACGACTAGCTAATATGCTATTGAGGAAGAAGACTGAAACTTAAACAGTGATAGTAGTTATGGAGCAGAGGGGCCAAAGTTAAAAAATATGTGCAGGAAGCAGAAAAGGGGAAGAGATGATATCAGACTAATACACCCTCTTCCATCTTTTTTCCCTTCTCACCAATAGCCAACAGTTTCCCTCCCTTTTCTATATGTACATACACTGTGTTTCTTTTTCTAGGTCAGTTCTTGTTCCTGTTGAGTGTTTCTATGTTCCACCATGTGGAGGGCTAAGAATCAGCTTTTTTTACTTTCACCTCATTACTTGAAGCAGCTAAAAGAATCATCAGGCTCCAGGCTCACATGGCAACGACTTGTACACCAGCAACTACCTCTTCACCCAGAATGGGCTGCCCTGGCTAAAAAGCAGCTGAAAGGCAAAAACCCAGAAGATCTCATATGGCACACCCCAGAAGGGATCTCTATAAAGCCTTTATATTCCAAAAGGGATACTAAGGATTTACCCGAAGAACTTCCAGGAGTCAAGCCATTCACACGTGGACCATATCCCACCATGTATACCTTTAGGCCCTGGACTATCCGTCAGTATGCTGGCTTTAGTACTGTGGAAGAGAGCAATAAATTCTATAAGGACAATATTAAGGGTGAGATGTTAATGCGAGACATAATATTTATAAGACATATATCTCCTAATCTTGTCATTTTTTGAGGGAGACTGATTAATTTCCATAAAGATGATGTATTACTTCATTTCTTTTTCTTATAACAAAATACATGGAACTGGGTAATTTATAAGAAAACGGAATTTATTGCTTATAGTTTCTGAGGTGGGAAAGTCCAAAGTCCAGGGAACGTATCTGATGAGGGTCTTGGTGGTGGTGACAGAGACCCAGGAGACTCACATTGCAAGATGGTGGAAGTAGAGAGAGACACTAGCTTCTTCATTCACTCTCCTTTTTAAAACCTGCCAAACCATGACCATGACCACTATTTTTAATCCATTTACTATGGCATGTTCCTACAGTCAAATCACCTCTTCAAGGCCCTACCTTTCAATTACAATAATAGGATTTCCCACCTTCAACAGTTACAGTGGAGATTAAGTTTTGGGGGGGACATTCAACTCAAGGCAGATGATACTCACTTTATAATTTTGTAGTTAAAGACTATACTCTGAAGAAATGGATGTTTCTCAACTTGCATGGCCAAAAAGATAAAATGAGCCAGAATAAAGAGCTAAATTCTTGGAAGTAAAGAACCCTTATATGTACATTGTATAAAAGGAATAGGGGAGATGAAGTTGTATAAGTAAAAGAGACATTGACTTTGCCTTTTAAAAGCTTTTAACTAATATTGTTGGGACAGGAATTGGAGGAAAAGATAGTTTAAATGATGCCGAAAGAAAGTAATAGAAAAATGATAATGTGGTATAAATATATTCAGTGCAATCTGGCATGCATCCTCTGAAAATTATATTAACTACTATTTCTTCTTTCTGATCTATGATAAAATCATATTGTTTGAATACTAAACTTGAGGATTTATAAGTTTGTATATTGTCCATGGAGATCTGAACTTATATTTAGGGTATAGTGTTCTATAACTATCAATTAGGTCAAGGTGATTAATAATGTTCAGATCATGTAGAGGTTTACTGACTTTTTTTTTTCCGGTGGCTGGCCAGTATGGGGAACCGAACCCTTGACCTTGGTGTTACAAGGCTGCGCCCTAACTAGCTGAGCTTGAACTTATATTTAGTGTAGACTATTTGAGTTATTGAAAAATTTGTATGGTTTTCATAATTGTGTTTCCCAGAATATTTGAATAGCCAAGTTATCCTGTTATGACCATATTTAGATAAAATAACAACAACAAAAAAAATAAGTGAGCATACAAATGCTAAATTATGTTAACTATATATGAACAGTCAGATCTTTTCATGAATTTTAGAAATATTGCAATCAAAAACTGTTGATTTAAAAAAAAAAAAGATTTGATGCTTAAGCACCAAATCCTCAGAGAGATGTGAGATAAATGAGATGTGCATTTGTTCATTTTGGCACATGGGAAACAGCTGACTCTATTTGGAAGTGAGGTATCTTTATTTAAATTTGTTTTGAAATGTATGAGCATAAAAATGTTTGTTATAAAAGTATACTGTGATGAGCTGAATTGGCACTTTCAATAGTGTTAATCAGTTTACTTTGATACCAGCCTCTTTAACCTTACATTATTTTTCTTTATGTATTTAGCTGGTCAGCAGGGATTATCAGTTGCCTTTGATCTGGCAACACATCGTGGCTATGACTCAGACAACCCTCGAGTTCGTGGTGATGTTGGAATGGCTGGAGTTGCTATTGACACTGTGGAAGATACCAAAATTCTTTTCGATGAAATTCCGTTAGAAAAAATGTCAGTTTCCATGACCATGAATGGAGCAGTTATTCCAGTTCTTGCAAATTTTATAGTAACTGGAGAAGAGCAAGGTGTACCTAAAGAGAAACTTACTGGTACAATCCAAAATGATATACTAAAGGAGTTTATGGTCAGAAATACTTATATTTTTCCTCCAGAACCATCCATGAAAATTATTGCTGACATCTTTGAATACACGGCAAAGGTATACTTTGTGGTTATTATTGCTTTTGCTGTAGTTCTTTGAATGTGGGAATTTTTACAAAATGCTACAACCTAATTTGAATTTGGTAATGATTCTGAATCATAGTATAAAATCAGGGTGTTTCACTGCTGTTAGTTTTTAGTGTTTTGTTTTTTTTTAAAAAGATGACCGGTAAGGGGATCTTAACCCTTGATTTGGTGTTGTCAGCACCACACTCTCACAAGTGAGCTAACCAGCCGTCCCTATACAGGGATCTGAACCCGTGGCCTTGGTGTTATCAGCACAACACTCTCCCAAGTGATCCATGGGCTGGCCCTTAGTGTTTTGTTTTTAATGTACTAATTTTATGGTCTGTTATCACTTGTAGGAATCTAGGCAATAGACACTGTATTTTCTTTATCATTAACATTTAATTCTTTGATAATTGTTAGAATCAGGGAGGTCCCATAATTTACACTTCTTTATTTCCCTTCAGAATTCAGATGTGAATTAGGTGTGAAGTAGACACTGTGTCAAATAGATGGGTATTAGAACATCAGCTTTATTTCTACTAAAAGCTGTATTGGAAGATAGCACTTACATCTTTTACTTCAGTGAGGTTTCTGTTATTCACCCCTGAACTAGATTCATCTTCCCCAATCAGAGCAATGGAAAAGAAGGTTCCTGTAGTGATCCTGAAGTAGCAGCAGTCTCTCTACAGCGATGCATTTTTTTTTTCTTTTTCATTTTCCTTTGAGTAATTTTTATGTTTCTTTTTCTTCATTTTTCACACTTCGCTTCCTGCTAAAAATCCTCTGCTTTTCCTTGCCTACCTTAAAATTAGACCATTATTTAGTGATAGAAGGAAAATCTCTTCTCGATCAAACCATATATATATATGTATATATTTCTGTTACTCCTTGTAATTACTGTTATTTCAGAACTCTAGCAAGCATTGCCTACACTCCTTATTTGATATCTAGCCTTTACACTTTGTAATTTTATTTCTTTTCATGTATTCTCTCTGCCCAAGTGAATTGCATTGCATAGAATTGCATATTTCTATCACCTTTTTAGATTTCGAGAACGTATGCACAGGAGGATTGTGTTTGGCAACATATGACAACCAAACACACACAAATAGCAGTAGATTAAACTGAATAAGAATTGAGTATCTTTTATCTGAAAGAAGTAGGAAGGTAAGCTGTCAGGGACTTGCTTATATGGAAGTTCCACAGTCATCCGGGTTCCAGGTTCATCTTGCTAGTCCTTTATTGTTAGCGTGACATCTCATAGTTCAGCAAAGAGGTGGGCCAGGTTCTCTGATTTAAAGTGAACTTCCAGAAGGAACACAATGAACTCCCACAAGTATCTTCAATGGACACACATGGTAGTAAGAGAAGATTGGAAATGTAGTCCTTATACATTGGCACTTTGAATTTATGGTTCAGCTATTAACAGGAGGAGGGTGGAGAATGCTTATTGGAGTAGATAGTAGCAGTCTGTGTGCTATTATATGCCTGGTTATTTCACCTTGTGAAAGGTGCTAATATGAAAGGTCCTGAGTTCAAAATTGCTTTATATGGTTCTTCATGTAAATGGTAAAATGCCAATTTCAGATACTGATCAAACAATGTTACATTGAAGTACTTTGTGAGCTGTGAACTTTTGTATCTTTTAAAAAAAATTTTTAATTGTGTCAAAATACATGTGATGTAAAATTACCATCTTAACCATTTTTAAGCATACAGTTCAGTGGCATTAAGTACATTCACATTGTTGTGCAACCATCATCACTAACCATCTCCACAACTCTTTCATCTTGTAAAACTGAAACTCTGTACCTATTACACAATTATTTTCCATTCTGTCTTGACCCCGGCCCCTGGCAACCATCATTCTACTTTCTGTCTCATGCATTTGACTACTCTAGGAACCTCATATAAGTGGAATCATACAGTATTTGTTATTTTATGACTGGCTCATTCCATTTAGATTAATGTACTATATACTAAGTTTCTGTGATTTAATTTTTATTATTTTATGTTTGGTTAACTGTTGGGAAGGATAATTTTTGGCTCGGCAGGATGTGCGTGACACATACTCTTATCTAATGTGAAATTTTAGGGGAATAGTTTAAAAGCAGTTTTCATAGTGATTGTGGTGGGAAGAACCTGTCTGGCTTATGTTTAGGATTATATGTCACAGTAAATCCAAACTGAAGTCTTTGATTTTTAAGCCATGGATTTTGTCCCATTTTGTTTCAGCATATTGTACTAAGGATCGAAATCATTTTCCTTTTTTCTTTTTTCAGTTGTTCATGTTTGATGTGTACTTACTCATGTTTGATGCCTTTATTCAAATAAGAAAATTAATAACTAGTAAATTATAGTAAATATACACATCTTCAGCAGATTAACCCAAAGTTATAAGGTCTTATAACCTCTTATGAAATCAAAGTCATAGGTTTGGAATTAAATACGTCTTCATTCAGTTCTCAGGACAGAGGTTACATTCCTTACCTTAGCAAGCTAATATCAAAATTTAAACTTCTAACTCTAAGGTATGGTTAGTACAGATTCTTTTCCACTAAGGAAATAAAGTGGGTACAGTCCTCATGATGGTTCATAGACCTGTCATTTAAATTGGAGAGTGAATTAAATATAACAAATAAGAATAAAATATTTTTAGTTAACATTATAAACTACCAAGTATTTCTGACTTGAACGTCATTTTAAAATAACATTTACTTTTATTAACATTATAAACTACCAAGTATTTCTGACTTGAACGTCATTTTAAAATAACATTTACTTTTATAAAGAAAATGGTTTTAATAGAAACTTTTAATATTTTTATTCACTATTGTATTTTTTATTACTTTATATAGCACATGCCAAAATTTAATTCAATTTCCATTAGTGGATACCATATGCAGGAAGCAGGGGCTGATGCCATTCTGGAACTGGCCTATACTATAGCAGATGGATTGGAGTACACTAGAACTGGACTCCAAGCTGGCTTGACAATTGATGAATTTGCACCAAGGTAAGTAAATTAAACTTAGATATTATTTCAACATTAAGAAATACAGAGGCCATTTTATGAGTGTACAGCAAAATATATTAATAAAATGTATTTGTAAATGTAAATTTTATGCTGGATTTAGATTTTCTAATGTTTTATCTGAGTGATGAGAGAATAAGCTAATACTATTTATAATAAAAAATTGGAATTAAATTTGTCTACACTTTTTTGTAAATTAGAGGAATATCTTAACTCCCACTGTTCAGAGAACACAGTAAACTTGCACATTTTAACAAATTATATTGAAATATAAATATAATGTTAAGACAGTTTGCTTTTTTCACCTTCATTTTCCCAAGAGTTTACAGGGGCATTTTCCAGAAGCTACCACTATATATAATACAACCATTCCAGACATGTGATGTAGCAACAGATTGAATGCAGAAGCAGATATGATATTCCAACTATCTTCTCTTAAGTCATACATTAAAGAGATTTGCAAAAATGTCAAAAAATTTTTTGTTTAGAGAAGTATAATTTTTTTCAAAAAAAATGTTACTTATGTTAACATGTTTTATGTTTATTGGTATTTTTAAATGAACTAGTAAATAAAATATGATAGATACTATTAAAATAAACATTATATGGGATCTTCAGTAATTTTTGAGAGTGAAAAGGGATCCTGAGACCAAAATTTTTGAGAACTGCTCTATTAAGAACTTCTTCCAAGTGTGTATCAAAAATTTTTAGTAAGTTGTGGCTTCTTAAAGCTCCCTTTGTTTTTTATAAGGAATCACAACTTTTGTACCTTTATAAACAAGCAAGTAACTTAAATGTGTAAATCAGCCACAGAATATAAGATGAAAGAGAGTAGTGAGATTAGGGACAAATTGGAGAAATATATGCCTAGATCAAATGCACAATCTTTTTTTTTTTTTTTTTTTTTTTTTTTTTGGGGGGGGCCCAGTTGGGGGCCCAAACCTTTTGCCTTTGGGTTTAAAAACTTGTTTTTAAACACGGG